GCGAGCATGTTTGGTGTGACGGGGATTCGAACCCGCGACCCTCTGATTGCGAGTCGAGTTCCCTAACTACCTGGCCATACCGGGCTGGTGACGTATGCAAAAATATGGGAGGCAAAGGTGTAAAACCAACTACCAAGGAGTTTTCCTAGTAAAACAAATTTGATGCCATATCGCGCCTCGTATGCACTGTTGTGTGATCGATATTTAGCGCTTAATAATCCCGTGTAGGTCTTAAAACTAGTAAAACTTAAATTTAGCCGTTCTCGTTTTCGAGACCTGTAAAACATCGAGACCCAAATGGTCCGAGACCTTTCGAAGGGTGGTCTCGAGACCTACAACACTAATAAGATTTTAGCACTAGCGTACTATCAAGACATATCTCGGTTAGAAACTTACGCGTGCGCACTTCTGTTATGTATAACTAGCTTGATTACGATTACCGCTAAACGCAGAGCAGCAGACTAACCGGCATAACGTGTGCACAGTAAAGTAAAAAATAACCAATATGTAGGAAATATGCCACTAACTCCTGTCAATATTTTAAAATAACATTTAGGTACATAACATTTGCTTGTGTACACAGTAAGAATGAGTAAGTGTATGTACATATAAACTTTATACACGTTTGTACGACAGTAAAAACCAGTTTATGAGTGTAAATTCAATTCAAGAAGTAATAATCGCATCAAAAGGCATTTATAAAAGAGCTATCTATGTGACACAAAAGTTAGAGATAAATTTCTAAATAGTAACTTTAGCGTATGAAGCTTAAAATGTATTCTGTTCATATCTAGCATGCTTACCAATACGTCTGGATTGCGCACTGAGAAACGTGCTGTGACAGGACTCCATGATTGGAGGGAAGAGATCTTGTGCTAAACTTCTCTAATATCTATTATCAAGTTGAGAGATTCAAAATATGCAGATTATTGTGCTGTTGTAAATTAATAAAGATATGATAATTTACCTTTTGATATTAAGTTGTTCAAGGACTCCTTTAGAAACGTATATACAGAAATTATACAAACAAACGTTAAAATACATAATGCGTGGCTGTGGCGATCGCTATTCCATTATGGTTAATTGCTTATGCGGTCACCTAAATCTTAATAATTGTCTAAAGGGTGGGGGTTGGGCGTCTAACAACAGATGAAATTAAGGGTTGTTCTTTATAACAAAATGTCTACTACGTTAATTTAAAAAAATCTTAAAACTTTTTTTTTCACTGGTGACTACCATGCCCACAATTAGCTGCAGACGGTGAATGGTAATAAATGTTAGGGTGTGGTGGGTGAAAGTACCTCATATTGATCTTATGTTAAAATCATCTCGTTATTTGTGTTTTTATAGATTATGTTTGGTATACGGAATATCCCCAACGCTTTCAGATGCTATGACCGCAGGCATTTTCATTCAAAAACTGTACCTTTTGCACTTTGTTGACAAATGGTGTGATTTCGAATTGTTTTATTTAAATTGTCTTTTATGAAATTCGTTATGAGTAATGGTTCGTATTAGATTTACACTAAACATTTTAGTTCAGGTTTTTATTAAATTCTTCATCAATTGGTGTAATTCATAATATTAGACTTATTATATTTACTTATATATATATAATATATAATTACTACATATGTATTACTAAATGTTTATCCCATGTATCGGCTACAAACATGCTGCCATCTTCAGGGATTTTCTGAGACGGACTATATCTGTGGTGGAAGTTAATTAGTTTTAAATACTGACTAAAGCAAGATACCTATATACATCAATGTAATATATATATATATATATATACCCATTAATGGACATGGCTAACTAAATATACTGTTCAAATTATTTTACTTATATTAATAAAGATATGTTGTTTTATCAGTTGGGGTTTCATCGATGTTAACGATATTTTCGGCCATAAACCCAATAATATCTATGAAGTTCAGCCGCCAAGAAGAATTAAGTTTGTCCTAGATCCATATACTAAGTTAAGGCCCCCCAGTGGCACAGCGGTATGTCTGCGGACTTACAACGCTAGAAACCGGGTTTCGATACCCGTGGTGGGCAGAGCACAGATAGCCCTTGTGTAGCTTTGTGCATAATTAAAAACAAAAACAAATATACTAAGTTAATAATTCAGATTAATCATTGTGATAAAAATAAAATTAGTACAATGTAAGATCATCATTATAACAAATATTAAACAGAAATACAATATATAAATACAAAAATTATAAATAACAGTAGATATTAAATATTCTAATCAACACTGTGGTTAAAAATTTAACTTGTTTAGGCCGATGTCCAAGTAAGATCTACATTCCGGTGTTCGATCCTGGGTTTTATTGATAAAGAGGATGTTTACAGGGAATCCATAGACATTGCTATATACATCGACTAAAATCAAACCACCTTAAGAGTGTAAAGATGAACGCCAGAGACTGCCCCTAGCTCTTAGAATGAACAAGATTTTTAATACCAAAGATGCCAAGAAAAACACATCAATTCAGACCTCATTGACAAAGGATACCGAAGACTCTTGAAATATGAATAAAATAAAGAAGATACGCATAAAGAATAAACTGGAAAAAAATTACAGAGACAGCTATGGTGCGGAGTAATGTAATTAAATACCTTGTCATGTTTGGAATAACGTAATTAACACTCTCAAGTTAGACAAATGGTAAAAGCTACATAATCTGGGAGGTCTGTGATAAAACAAAATTAAGCATTCAGGATCCGTTTTTCTTATTTATTTAGAACAAGTTTTACACTGCAAAACGTTTTTGTCCCCCCCCCCCTCCTACTAGTAGATCACTCCACAGCATATACACTTACTTTCACGTTCTTACAAGCCGTTTCTGTTTAATACAATGCATTCTACTCATTTTTGTCTCTTATTGCACGAAAAATTGAAATATAGTTGTAACATACAGACATATACATATATGCACACACACGTACTTAAAAACACAGAAAATACATACAACATTCCCATATATATATATATATATACATATATACACACACACACACACAGGAACGCATAAATATATACAGACAGGTGCATATACACACACACACACATCTTCAAGCATAGATAAAATCATTTGCTAAACAAAACGATTTTAAATACTTACTTTAATCAACTATTCTTTAAAAAGCAAACCAAAATTTCTCTTCAAGATTTGTACATATTATTAGGTGGCTTTAGCGTATACAACAAGAAAGAATGAAAATACTTGAGTGTAATAAATTATGATAATTAAATGAGTAAATAAATTAAAACGATGTAAGCGTTATTGAAACTAAGTCCAGCACTCTTGAAGAAACTTCGATATAGATAAAACGTCACAATTTTTAAAATATTAATAAAGGAAGCAAAAACAGGTGGCTTTAGGATATTAAACAAATAATTAAAACATCTAAATTTAATAAATTATGATAAGGAGCAAATAACTTAATACGGGGTAAACATTATCAAAACTTAGCCCAGCACTCTTGAAGAAATTTCGATATAAATACAACAGATTTTAAATATTACTAACACAAGCAAAGATCACATAATAATACTTCCTTCGCTTTTGATTTGCGATATACTCAAAACTAAAATAGTCCAACACTAGAATGAAAATTTTGCTATGAAAAATAATAGTAAAAGTAGAATCTCACTGTACAATATACATTTCTGCTTGATGAAATTCTCGTTATTATGAAAAGAAAAATGCCGTAAGCTACTGTAATTTTTTTCTTACATAAGTTAGCCCTGGCCTTCCGCTTTGTCTTCTCTCGGGTAACGGTCATCCATCAACAAGTAAGATAAACAAAAATGTAAAAGTAGTTTTGGAATTCAAAACGAATTTGTTAGAAGATACCATGATGGGTGAACAATTCCATCTCCCTATTCTATATTGTTCTGGTTAGGCCCTAGACTTCAGTATTCCACGCCACACCGTGAATTAATCATTTGTTGTGTAATCTGTTATGTACATAGATATATTCGTTTTCTCTTCGGTAAACATTGCTGAGAATATATGAAATACAGAACTATACGTCAATACTTCAACGCTTGATCGTTTCTTTATGAACAAAGTTCTTACTGCGCGTACTTAGGCTTAGGCGTAAAATATCTTCATCCAATTTTAAAATAGCGAATCAGGTACTATTAATATTAATAGCTTTTATGTGATATCACTTAACTGTAACGTGACAAATTGCTAAAATATCACCTCTTCTATGACAAGTGAAATCGTCTTAAGCTTATGGTTGTCACAAGTACTTTATTCTTTGCGATATATTTTATATCGTAACAAAGGAAGTAACGTCGGTACAATCATGTTAAGCCTCACCAATAACTATTCAGTATTATTTGATGTGCCAAGCTATTTTCATCGACATTAAAGTAGAATTTTAAGAATTATGTTCATGAATATTATGAAGTAATATTTTACTGTCCAAAACAGATCAAGAGAAAGTTTTTGGTTACAAATTTCTTTAAATTTAGATTTGGACATTTCGGGAGTATTTCTGTAGACGGCTTTGTTTACAGAAACATTATTTACTACAGAAAACGTTTGATCTTTGTGCTTTTTTTTTTTTTTTACAAAAGCTGAACTTATTCTAGTGTGAACAAGATAAGTTACTCTTGAATTAACTCTGTTTTAGTCTAACACACTGAGAAATAACCGTTATTCAAAGATAACTCTTTGTATATAACCCCCACTTTAGCACAATATTTAACAATACAAAAACTATGACATCAGTTATTGGATAAGGTTATATACCTTAGTTAAGTTTTATTATAATGCATCCACATGGAATTTTTATTAAACTATAGATAACTAACATCTAAAAAAAGAACTTTCAACCAAGCCGAACTTCATCTTATAGATTCATCGAACCAACCAATGTACCTGCTGTGACTCTTAGCCAATCCCAATATGAAACTAAAAAATTAGGACCAATGATTATAAACGATTTGAGAAGTTCCACTTGCAATAAATAAACTATAAAAGATAATCACGACATGAAGATCTGTCGCGGAAGCTGATGATGGGAGCTGACCTGTGACCTTTGTAAGTTAGCCGGTTATTCATTCTGACCTCTCGGAGAATGGTCTTCTTACAGTCTTGGAAAAAACTCCCACAACTACTGTAATTCGAAATATGTGAAACGCGTCTCCCGTTATTTCCGGTTTCTTGTTCTGACACGTCACTGCTTATCAACCAACTGAAATCAGGAGAAAGATGAGCACTGTTTTGTCTCGAGACCGGTGGCACCTGGAGGCAAGGAGTGGAAATAACATGGTCATTGTCATGTTTCACAACATCGTTCGTTGTAGGCACGTGGACTTCTGTCACGCTATCGTGGATTCCAAACGACCTGTTACCCGGAGAATACGTCACAAGGGGCTCTTCTTTCCCCACAAGCCAGTAGGTTCGCATTTCACCTTTCCCCTAAAACAGTAATGTGAAAAATATTGTTAAAAATAAGATGTATATCTATATATTTCTAAAGTTGTGTTATTTATGTGTGTGTGTGTGCAGAAGATGACTTGAGAGTTTATGAAGTATTTAATGTATTTATTTAAGGTTGGAAAATTACAATGTGCGAAAAGGGTGTTGTTGTTGAGAGGTTGTTGATTGATCCCTCGCCCGGTAGGCTCAAAGGGTGATCTAATAAGAATATCATAGAAGAATAGAGTATCAGCAAACTTGAAAAGTAAAAATCAGATATCAGTGCTAGTGCATGTTTGTGAACACACTCTTTCCGCAATATAACTAAATGCACATAATTTTGCTATAAAAAATAAAATAAAAATGAGTCAGTTTGGCGTTATGGTCGCAATAACGCAGCCCTTCAGTGGTATGTCTGTGGACTTACAATGCTAAAAACTACAAACTACATTTAACTACAAACAAACGAGAAATAACGCAAAATGTCCAATTTCCGCGTATGTTTATTAGTCTGTGGCTCTGATGAACATGGGTCCATCTGTCCAAAGTGATGGTGTTTATCTTCTTTTTTTTTAAGTGATTTCCTAACTTTTTATCTTACGTGTGTTTCTATTATTTTGAACATGAATAGACATGTATATTTTTACAGAGCTTATTAATACGCATAGCCTACCAATATGCAAATGAACAACATCGATAATACAAATCGACTATGTGCATGACGTCATGCGCAAGTAACCCCGGCGTCTAAATCGCGCTGTAAAGACCACAAAACAACTGTTTGTTTGTTTTTAAGCGCGAAGATTTATGGGCTAATCTGTGCTATGCCCACCGCGGGAACCGAAACCCTCTTTTTTTTTAGCTTTATACTTCTGACTTACTCCTGAGCCACCGAATGGGGTGGGGATTACAGAACAAAACGATTAGCTATCTTTTCATATTGTTGCGTCAGCGAGGTCACGTGACTAGTGTCACACCACCTATTTTCTAGAAATATCCCGTTCCTTCGTGAATGCTCTAGCATTTACTAGATATATGTTTGTCTGGTATATATATAAGACGCTCACAACGTGACGGGACAATGTGTGTAGGTAATGAGTAATTGAACTGCAGTCAGATAGAGATGTATTGTTGAAGTTAACGTTCGTTGTTATAGCGTTTGTTATAGCGCGACTGTTGAAAATAAGTGTATCGTAAAGTTGTATTCGGAAAGAATAAACCAGTTTTATTAAGTAAGGACTTGTGTCGCTAAAGTTTCGTCGGAACGAAGTTACGGAAAAGCAACTAACGACTGGAGGCGTAACAATATTCTCTGGTTGCGTTAATGTCAATTTAAAGTGAGTTTCAAATGCGAGACAAGGCCTGATGGCATGAATTTTTTCATTTATAAAGGCAGATTTTGCATTTTGTTTGCATAATTGCTCATATTGGTATTAATGATAATGAAATAGTGGATATATAAGCCAGAAATGTTGAAGCATTTATTATAACACACGAATGTTCCTCTGGGTACAAATGAAGTTAAGTCTCATTGAAATCATGTGTATTCATTGTGGGAAACACAGGAACAAAAGGAAAGGAAGTGTTTATATTCCAGGCGGATGTAAAGGTCAGTTTTGTTTTTACAGGGAAAATAAAACAGGTGAAATTATAATAAATTGATTAACAACTGGACACTGTGGAATAAATAAACATCTCCGTCTAACTGACAAACGCATAGATGGAAGATGTGAAAGTAAAATGAAATATCATAGGCTATAAATTCTAAGACATATTTTGTGGATAACTGCTCCAGTCCAATAGGTGGCTGTAAATAACCCCATTGGCTTAAATCTACCATTAAGAGAAATAATCAAAGACCATGGCACAAAATACAAACAGTCATGCCTCAAAATAAAAAGGTTCCTGTAATTAACCGTATTCAATTAGAAGATGGGAGGGCGATCAACGTTATCGAGTAATCGCCAGGTCATTTGTAGTACCGCTGTATGTAGTAAATATGGCGGCAATACGTTTTTGCGCTTGCCGGGCGCTCGAAACCAACAGAAAGGACTCTTCTTGCTGCTGTAAAAACTTTAAGTCAGACAGCCGCTATTGTTATAAAACTGGGCAAACGTATTCAAATATCATCAAACGTTATCTTCATAGCGGGGGCTACAATGGCCATATAACTAGACAAAAGCCTCTCCTCACTCCAAACAATATTGTAAGGCAACAGTAGTTGACATCACAGATGCTATAATACTCTCCTTTAGAGACACTATATATTGAAAGAAATAGCTTCAAAACTATTATCATATTAAGTACATTAGTTGTTAATAGGCGATTAAAATCAGCACTATAAAACAATAATGAAGTTAATATAAGATAAGCCTTAAAATTTATAAAGTCCATTTTAGTTTCCAGTCGTAACCTTGAAGTCATAACGGAAATTATCTAGTGGTGATAGATCCAAAGCGTTAATGATATCCCATC